ACTTAGCAAACTCGAAAAAAACATATCTTCAGTTAGATTAACTCATTTATCCAGACCAAGATTATGAGAATTTCAAGCAAAATGGATTATAAATCCTTAAACCACAGACCCATAAAAAGCTATGAATCTATGATAGCAGCAACATAAGTAGACATGAACCAGAACAGAGGAATCATATACTGTTTACCAAACATGATAATGTCAATTAATGATGCTAAATCAGAAAAGAAAGAAGATGCCACACAAATATGAAATATCTGAAGAGAAGATTGTTGTACCTGCTTGACTTGAGAGAGTATTTCAGTCTCATAAGAGAAATGATGATTGACAGAGAGAAAGTTTGAGAGAGACCGCAGGAAGAAGAAGAAGATGAGGTTTTGAGAGAGAGAGAAAGTGAACTGTGACTGTGAGTGTGCGGCGGAATGAATGCAGCAAAATGCTATTGCTAGGGTTGGTAAGGATTTTAGAATAGACAATTACAAAACCACCCTTGCTTAACGGGTTGGTTCGTGTTTTCGCGCGAATGGACACTGAAACGACCCGTTAGCTTATCGTGTGGCTAACGAGTTAACACGATAGCAACACGACACGATAACACGAACACGAATACTGAAATTTTTTTGCGAATTCGTGTCGTGTTATCGTGTTTCGTATGATATTGCCAGGTCTAGCCATGACCCTTTATAAAGCCAACCACGTGAAGGCACATAATGTATATTTTTATATATTTGACAAGTGAGATGCACATGCTGATTTTATTATTGTGCATATTTGTGGCGCCACACCACCTTCATCTCATATTCAATATGGCTTAGGGTGTTCATGTTTGACTCGGTAGTAAATGCCCATACATGTTAGAAATTACCACTCCGCCAGCAATGCATGTATTCCTTATCGAGTCAAACATGAACACCCTAAGCCACAGTTCACTTTCTCTCTCTCTCTCTCTCTCTCTCTCTCTCTCTCTCTCTCTCTCTCTCAAAATCTCATCATCTTCTTCTTTCTGCGATCTCTCTCAAACTTTCTCTCTGTCAATCATCATTTCTCTTATGAGACTGAAATACTCTCTCAAGTCAAGCAGGTACAACAATCTTCTCTTCAGATATTTCATATTTGTGTGGCATCTTCTTTCTTTTCTGATTTAGCATCATTAATTGACATTATCATGTTTGGTAAACAGTATATGATTCCTCTGTTCTGGTTCATGTCTACTTATGTTGCTGCTATCATAGATTCATAGCTTTTTATGGGTCTGTGGTTTAAGGATTTATAATCCATTTTGCTTGAAATTCTCATAATCTTGGTCTGGATAAATGAGTTAATCTAACTGAAGATATGTTTTTTTCGAGTTTGCTAAGTATTCTGTCTCTACAAAGCTTTTCTGATGTCTGGTTGAAGAAACTGAGAAAATCTGCAAATGTGAGTGATTTTTGGTGTTTACTTTATGTAAGTGGTAATAAATACTAATGATGGCTGCAATATTATTAAATTGACAAAGGCTACTTTGTTTTTTTATGAATGAAGTAAAGAATTACCTTTTCCATTGGTTACCTTTTCAGGTCCAATGAATGATGTCTTGCAAATCGTTGGCCATCTTTTGAATTGTTATTTCATATGGTTTAGTTGAGAAGTCTGTTGACATTTTAATATTTTAAAGGTCTTGGTGTCTTTCTATTATTATTTCTAATGATATTTTAATATGTCTCTTGTTTTCTTTTTGAAGGGGATGTGATGGATGTTACAGAAAATAGCACTGCCAATGTTTTTGAGATTAATGATGAGGAGTCTGTTGAGATTTCAATGGGTATTGATACAACTACTGAAAATACAAAAGATAAAGAGTTAAGCCCTACAAAGAAAAAGGTTAGAGTTAATGTGGGTAGGCGTAAACTAAGATCTCCTGCTTGGGAATCATTTGATTTATTGCCTATGGGTGAAGATAAAAAAAAGCGTGCTAAATGTAAAAGTTGTGGGATTATATATGCATGTGATAGTAGGTATGGTACAGGAAATTTGTTGAATCATGCTAAAAATTGCCTTAAGAAGTCACATGGTGATGTGAAACAATTACTTATGTCATCTTCAGGACTGCGTTCCCCGCAATTTGATCATGTGAAATTTCGTGATTTAATAATAGAGGCGATCATCAAGCATAATTTTCCTTTTAGCTTTGTTGAATATGACGCCATTAGGGCTTTATTTGCATATATCTCTCATGATATTAAGTTGCCATGTAGAAACACCATTAAGGCATGCGTGTTGAGGATGTTTAAAAGTGAAAAACAGAAACTTCTTAGTTTGTTAAGCTCAGTTCAGGGAAGAATTTGTTTAACTTCAGATTTATGGACCTCTGTATGTACTAATGGGTATCTTGCTCTTACTGCTCACTTTGTTGACCAAGATTGGAGATTGAACAAAAGAGTTATAAATTTTTGTCATATGCCTCCTCCACATTCTGGTATTGCATTATCTGAAAAAATCATCAATACATTGATAACTGAGTGAGGGATTGAGAAGAAGTTGTTTTCTATTACTTTGGATAATGCTTCTGCAAATACTTCTTTTGTTGATATTTTAACGAATCAATTGAACTTTAGAGGTCTTTTGTTGATGAGTGGCAAGTTTTTTCATGTGCGTTGTTGTGCTCACATTTTAAACTTGATAGTCCAAGATGGACTTAAGGAAATTGATTCTTCAGTGATAAAGATCCGTGAGTGCATCAAATATATAAAGGGTTCTGAGGGGAGGAAACAAAAGTTCTATGAATGTGTTTCACAAGTTGGAATAATGGGTAATAAGAGAGGATTGAGACAAGATGTCCCTACTAGATGGAACTCAACTTATGTCATGCTTGAGAGTGCACTGTTTTTTCATCGTGCATTTATTAATTTAGGGTTGATTGATTCAAATTTCAGTAATTGTCCTTCTCCCCAAGAGTGGATTAAAATAGAGAAGATTTCCAAGTTTTTGGGGTACTTTTATGATGTTACATGCTTCTTTTCTGGGACAAAGTACCCCACATCAAATTTATTCTTCCCTAAGGTGTTTATAATCCAGCACCAAATTAAGGCAGCCATAGAAGATATTGATGGTTTCATGAACAAGATGGGAACTAATATGAACATAAAGCAATTGCAATTATTTTGGATCCTCGTTATAAGTTACATTTTGTAGAGTGGGCTTATACCAAACTTCATGGTAAGGATTCTGAAGAATTTAAGTGTGTTAGAGACACATTGGCTTCTCTTTTTGATGTGTACTCAGAAAGTTTATCTCATCTCTTTAGTTTGAATTATGGAATGAATGAGACGACTAATCACACGGAAGGTGGAGATACCATTTTTGAGGTAACATAACTACTTATATATATATATATCATGTATTGTTGCATATTGTATGTCTCCTTAATTTTTGTATGTTTCATTTTGTATGATGTAGGATTTTGATATTAGTTACAAAAATGGTCCAAGTTCAAGTAGGAAAAATGAATTGTATAAGTATTTGGATGAGGAAAGACTAAATAGAAAGCAAGACATAGATGTTCTTTCTTGGTGGCAAATGGAGCGTTTTCATTATCCAATACTTTCACATCTAGCTCGTGATGTGTTAACAATTCCTATTTCTATGGTTGCATCGGAATCTGCTTTTAGTGTTGGAGGGAGAGTATTAGATCAATATCGTAGTTCGTTATTGCCTGAAATTGTTCAAGCTTTGTTGTGTACACGAGATTGGCTTTTTGGCAAAGGAGGTATTAATTATATAACTAAAAACTAGTATGTTTTTTTTTCTGTTTTTTTTTTCATTATGTGAATTAATAATGATTTGTAATTTTTGGGTTTTCAATGCTTAGCCATGGAGGAAGAGATAGAAATCCTTATTGAAGATGTCTTCAAACTTAATTGTGAAGATACTAGATCAGGACAATGCTCCAATAGTATTTCTCTTGATGATTGATGTGAGGTATGGATGAGTAATTGATATTTTATCAATATAATATTTCTCAATAATTGTATACTTTCTCATAGTTGTCTGTGTTTTTTTTTTTTCTTCCAGGAACATTGCAAGTGAAATGTTGAAGTCTGGATCACATTCATGGATGCTATACATGTTGTTTTTTTTTTTTTTTTGTTATCTCAAGTTTGGTGTAAATGTTTAATATATTTTTAGATTTTTTTGGGGAATGTTAATGATCTTTTTGGGCATGTATAATACAATGTGTTGTTTGGATCGGCATGAATGCCAGGTCTATATTTTGGTGTAAATGTTTAATACATTTTAAGATTTTTTTGGGAATTTTTTTATGCATCTATAATGTATTGTCAGTAATTGATATTTTATTTGAAGATTTTAAAATATATTTTTAAAAAACTGTTTATTTTTCTTATCGTGTAAATCATGTCGTGTCGTGTGATTCGAGAATTGTAACGGGTCGTGTTCGTGTTGAGCATTTTCAACCCGTTTTCTTATCGTGTCATGTCGTGTCAACCCGTTAAGAAAAGCGGGTTAACACGAAGCATAGCATGGCAGGAAGAGATTTATGGCGCATGGGTAAAGCTGAGCACGAGATGGGATGATGTTACAGCCAGTTCCCAAAAAGGCAGGTATGGCGAACATGATAATATTGGTGCCGTGGCGACTAAAGCCAAATCCTAGTGTGGTATTCCAGGTATAACATTATTAATCATATAATAATATTTGGTGGGGGTGGTGGTGAGACATAATGATTGACCCCTTACATGCAAAGAAGAGTCTGACTAGGTTGCTTCACATGGCATGGTGTATAATAATCCATATATTAATATTGATGTGAATGTTGTATAGGATATTGACAATATCACATGCATATCACTACAATCAGAGATGAGCAAAGTTATAATATTGTTGTGGGGTAGGCCTGTAAATAAAGCCCAGGCCCGATGGGCTATCCTGAACTTGGCCCGATTTTTTGATGTGTGGGCTTACCCGGCCCGAAGTAATGGGTGGGCTTAGTACGGCCCGAAGTCTAATATGTAGGGCTTCGGCCTCATTTCTAAGCCCTTTAAAAGCCCAGCCCAGCCCGATTATAATTAATTAATTAGATTAATTATAATTATATTATATGTAAGTGTTATCATGCACCATTCCGCACATGATTGGACTCCAAAAACTCATCCAAAGCTAAAACTCACGGATCTAATCTCTCTTTACGTCTCCCTCACAGTTCTCTCAGTCTCTCCTTCGTTTCCTAACCCTAGCCGCACACAACACTCACTACTCTCATCTCATCGCATCATTCATCTCCATCTTCATCACCTTTGGTAGACAATGTCATCACCTTTGTCCTCTTCGTCTCCCCAGTGTAACCTCTCTCTCTCTCTCTCTCTCTCACTCTGTAGATTTGATGGTTTTCTTGTTCAAGTTTCTGATTTGGGTTCTTATCTCTCATGGCTTTTGACTTTAATGGGTTCATAACTTCATATCTCTCATGTTTACTGGATCTTCTCATTAGTTAGATATATATGAGTCTTCATTTTGTCTTTTTTCTGGGGAAATTAGTGGGTCTTCTATTAGATTAGCTCATCAAAATTTATTTGGGTGCTAACTGTGCTGTGATGAATAAAATGATTGGGAGACGGAGAGAGGTGGGTTTTGCCATGGTGATGTGTGGGTGGGATTTGCAGAAAGTTAAAAGAGAAGATGAGATATTTGATCAATATAAAAGATTATTCATTTTTTTTCTTAATATCTTTATGTTTTGATGTTTGTTGATATTTTGATGAAAAATCTGTGATTGTGTTTTTTATATAGGTTTTGCTTCTAATAATCCATCAGCTCTCAAACTCACAAGCTGTAGAAGGGGTTGAAGGCTCTCAAGTCTTTTAAATATTAAACTAGCATATCTGTAAGTAAAGTAAGATGTTTTCTATAACTTGTGTGTTTATTATGTTGAAACTAAATCTGTGGTTGTGTTTCTTATGTAGAAATGAAGAAAGTCAAGAAGAAAATGATTGTACAAGATGAACAAGAATGGCCGGAGTGGTTTGTCCAAGATGCAGAATAAATATTTTCATTTTTATTGTTTTATAGTATATTTCAATTTTGTTTCAACTTTATTTTAAAATTTCAATGTATTGTTGTTATTATATAATTATGGATGAAGTTTTCAAACATAAAAAACAAATGGAGTTTAATAAAGCATAAAATAATGGCCCATTTTATAGGGCTAAATAGGCCCGACTCATTGGCCCGATCATAAGCCCGAAAATGTTAGGCCCATATGTAGGGCATGGGCTTTGTATATTTGATATAGGGCTGGCCCGGCCCGGCCCGATAACTCCTTAGGGCTGAAAAGGCCCGTTACTAGTTAGGGCTTGGGCTCACACCTCTTAGGACAGGGCTGGCCCGGCCCGGCCCATTTTACAGGCCTATTGTGGGGGATCGCTGTGAGGTGACGACCAAAGAATGTGGTGAGTTTAACTAAGGTCTAGTTACTTTATGGCAACATGCTAATAAATTATAATTTAATATACTATCGGATAATGTTTTTAACCACACAACAGTAACTTGAATTATTAACGACAAATATGTTCTTATCTTTTTTCCATGCCGCAGACGAGTGTGGTGCCTTGAAGGAGGGCTTCACTGTGGCATATGGAGCGAAGAGGATGAAGGCGATGTAAGCGGCACTCCGGTAGCCTCTGACTGTGAGTAGGTCCATAGCTCTTGACCTCCCAGTTCCTCTTGCAGTGGCGATTTCGACCACTGATACACTTGGATAATTCTTCGGTCTTGCTGGTCGGAGCTTGGTGGTTCGACCGGGGCTGCGATGGCTTGCGCTGGGCTCCGAGCCAATTCGTGCAAGTTCTCCAAGCTCCAACCAGTAAGACCGAAGAGGAAGACATTGTATGGTTTAAAATAATCTGGTCGAATGTGGTACAATCGCCTCACCAAATATTTACTAAAAGAAGGATATACCAACAATCCTATTTGCCCTTGTGTGTTTATTAAGAAATCAGACTCTGGTTTCGCAATTGTTGTAGTATATGTTGATGAAGCAAGAGGAGGAGAGAAGAGAGGGAGAGAGATAGAGACAGAAGTAGAAGAAGAAAGAGAAAGAAAATTAAAAAAAGAAAGAGAGGGAGGGAGACGGAGAGAAGAAGAAGAGAGAGGAGAGAGCGCAAGGCAACCGAGAGAAAGAAAGAGAGAAGAATAAAAAAATAAAAAGGAGAATACATTGGGAACGTGTGTGCATGTGTCTGGCAAGTATGGTGAGAATCGCTTTTGAGCGAGTCTGAATAGCATTCCTCAACATGATAAGCTCTCTGTCTTTTTATCTTCTTCATATATTTTATTGATATTCTACACTATTCAATATCACTGCCTCATTCCGATTCAAAAGCAGTACGGGCATGTTGGGGCAAGTGAAAACAATTAAGTTGGGAACTTGGAAACTTGGAAGCATGCGTGATATCCACTTGCACTAACTACTTTCTCTATTTTTAGTATAATGATATAATATAATATTAATATGTCAAAGCTATTTTGGAGATAATATAATATATTGATGTATATAGAATATACTCCTATAGATTAGTACAATAATATTTTATGTCACTACATGTTTAGCTGTATTGTTTTCAGGAGAAGAGAAATTGATTTAGGGAGACAAGCAAACGTGACATCCTCCAACAATTTCCATTTTGCAGTTTATGTATATTAATATAATGAATTCATTATACTATCTCCACTTGATGTTGAAGAACCCACCGAAAAAGGGGTGGAAAAAGTTGCACAAAGCCAAACTTTATATACCTTATATTGGTAATATATTGGTAGATGGATATTAGTGAAACCATGATTGCCAGAAGCAACCACTTTCACCTTATTATATATGGTTCACATTTATAAGGAAAGATAATATTGGCTAAACTCCATGTGCGTTATGACAGAGCTGAAAAAAAAGGACTTAAGACCCGAAGATCTTGATCCTTAATATAAATAATGAAGGACTAGAAGTTCCTAAATTCATGTATATCTAAAAAGGGCCAAAAGATCCTTTTCAGTGGCGGTTTTATCCCCACATTTATTTACTTTTATTTAAAAGAATGGACCAGAATTAGTGCCCATACAAGCACATTTACTTTATTATTGTATGGTGCGTAATTAACCCTCATACAGCAAGCAATTTATTTTACCGCACATTTAATTTTATTCAAAGTATGGTGCGGATTTATCGCCATATAGCAAACAATTTACTTTATGAATTTCTTTTACTGCACATTTATTTTAAGTATGGCGCGGGTTTATCGTCCATACCAGCAATTTATTTACCAACAATCTATTTACAAGTAATTTATTTTATGATTTAATTGTGTGAAGTCCTTTGATCAGGACCTGAAGTCCTTTGATCCTCATCATATAACTACATCAGGACTTGAAAGATCCTTGATGATAATAATCATATGAGAGCTGGCAATCTCTCCGGTACTATATTTGTAAATAAGTGATCGGACTTGAAAGATCTTTGATCATCGACATGTAAATAATGACTTGAAGTTCCTTGATAATGTAACAGTACCGTATGGTTGAATAGTAATCATTTTGGGTAAACTATCGCTATATACAAAAAGGGGACCTGCAGTTCCTTAGACTCATAAAGGGCAATTAAATGAAAAACCAGAAGTTTTGTGCACATTTACTCAAATGTAAATTTGGAATTCAAAGCACAATTATTATTTCATTATTGAATCCACATGTTTGAACTTGAAGCTTCAAATATATGAAATTAAATTTTCATGAATATCAAGAACCTGAAGTTTCTTGGTCATCCATATTATTTCAAAGATGGACTTGAAGCTCATATGATTTAAAGGTTTAAGTGGATACTATGAAAATTGAAACTTGCAGTTCTATATTACAAAGGAGAAAAATTACATAATCAGAGTTGCTAAAATATTTAATGCCTCAGAATTTGGGCATCCGTAGGAGAATCTTTGTGTTCCTCATATGTATTCTCCTCGTGAACTTGCAACACAGAAACAAGTTCCTCCAACTCTTTATTACTTTTCTCCAGTCTTCTAAGGTTTTGATTAGCATCATTCAGCCTTCTCCGCAGCATTATGACTTGAGATCTAAGTGCTTGCACTTCTTGTGATCTGGCCAGCAGCCGTTGTCCCAAATTGGTAACTGATGCAGCATACTGCATGCTAGCAACCAGAGAATCATTGACAACACCACTGTATGATCTAAGTGCTAACAATTTTTTGCTCATGGGGAGCAATATTCAAATCCAAAACATTTTGGGGATATGAAGACATTTCTTTTGAATAAGGGTGTGGCAATGAACAAGTGTGGCAAAGAACCCCTTAAATACTAGCAAACAGTAAGGAATTTATTCTACTGATATGAATGAATCGTGCTTTGGAAGCTTTGTATGTTAAAAGGGTGAAAACCCCTAATATATGAGTCTTTGTTTCCAGAATTTCATTCCCTCCACTCGAGATTGTCGGCCATTTTCAAATATTGGATTCGACATCTGTGATATTTTTCAAAAGCATTATGACAAATTTGAGGCTAACGTGTGGTTATACGTGGGAGCATATATTCCTACTTTTGCTATATTACCCCCTTTATCTTGAGTATTTTATCATACATCTTGTTATTGCTTTCCAATGATGGATGAGGTACATATCTGATTCCTCCCAAACAATGCTTGGCATGCTTAGTATAAGCTGATTGGTAGCCAAGAATCTCGTTGGCATTTCATTCACACTGTCATACCCATGAGTAACTCTTTTGGAGTCTTTAATATATGCAGTGTTTTGCAATTTTCAAATTTTGCATTAATCTTTCATACTTGTTACATTGTTCATACATATCAGATAGTACAATCATGTGTTGATGAGACAATATATTCCATAATAATTCACGTCCTTTTGCAGAAACAACCCAATTCTCCCCCTAACGACGGGAAAATTATCTCATCTAAACGATTCCAAAAGTATTATAATCATAGTCTTTTGGAGACAACAAAGAACAGAAACCTCAGTTTCCCTTAATAGAATCACAAAGATACAGTATATCAGAGAATCTCTGGTTCTCAGCAACAAGTGATAGGGAAAATGCTTATAATATAAGAGCAAACTCACAACAATCTATAAAAAGTGTGAGGCTTACAACCTTTCTTTGATCATTAGGATGTAGAGAGGTTACATGAAGAACATGAAATATACTGGAAAGATACATATTTTGATGGAAACGTACCATGCTCCATGTTCTAATGATATATCAACCATATTCTGATCCATGAAGTATATGGATCTTTCTCTCTTATCATTTGTGAGAGAGGCGTATATGTTCGGATGAACAATGTCCTCTCTTTCTTACCATAAATGGACCCAGAAGCTCAGTGAACGAGGCTGATACATGATCAAACAATTACTCAAACAAAGTAGTGGATCATGATCAAAGATAATCTTGCTTCTAAAGATCTTGATCAAGGATAATCTTGCTTCCAAGGAAATCTGCAGGATTTCTAAGCATGTCAAGCATTGTTTGGAAGGAATCAGATATATACCTCATCTATCATTGGAAGGCAATAACAAGAGGTATGATAAAATACTCAAGATAAGGGGGTAATATAGCAAAAGTAGGAATATATGCTCCCACGTATAACCACACGTTAGCCTCAAATTTGTCATAATGCTTTTGACAAATATCACAGATGTCGAATCCAATATTTGAAAATGGCCAACAATCTCGAGTGGGGGGAATGAAATTCTGAAAACAAAGACTCGTATATTAGGGGTTTTCACCCTTTTAACATACAAAGCTTCCAAAGCACGGTTCATTCATATCAGTAGAATAAATTCCTTACTGTTTGCCAGTATTTAAGGGGTTCTTTGCCACACTTCTTCATTGCCACACCCTTATTCAAAAGAAATGTCTTCATGTCTCCAAAATATTTTGGATTTGAATATTGCTCCCCATGAGCAAATATTGTTAGCACTGAGATCAGACAGTGGTGTTGTCAATGATTCTCTGGTTGCTAGCATACAGTATACTACATCAGTTACCAATTTGGGACAACGGCTGCTGGCCAGATCACAAGAAGTGCAAGCACTTAGATCTCAAGTCATAATACTGCGGAGAAGGCTGAATGATGCTAATCAAAACCTTAGAAGACTGGAGAAAAGTAATAAAGAATTGGAGGAACTTGTTTCTGTGTTGCAAGTTCACGAGGAGAATACATATGAGGAACCCAAAGATTCTCCTACGGAAGCCCAAATTTTGAGGCATTAAATATTTTAGCAACTCTGATTATGTAATTTTTCTCCTTTGTAATATAGAACTGCAAGTTCCAATTTTCATAGTATCCACTTAAACCTTTAAATCATATGAGCTTCAAGTCCATCTTTGAAATAATATGGATGACTAAGAAACTTCAAGTTCTTGATATTCATGAAAATTTAATTTCATATATTTGAAGCTTCAAGTTCAAACATGTGGATTCAATAATGAAATAATAATTGTGCTTTGAATTCCAAATTTACATTTGAGTAAATGTGCACAAAACTTCTGGTTTTTCATTTAATTGCCCTTTATGAGTCTAAGGAACTGTAGGTCCCCTTTTTGTATATAGCGATAGTTTACCCAAAATGATTACTATTCATGCATACGGTACTGTTACATTATCAAGGAACTTCCAGTCCTTATTTACATGTCGAGGATCAAGGATCTTTCAAGTCCGATCACTTATTTACAAATACAGTACCGGAGAGATTGCCAGCCCTCATATCATTATCATCATCAAGGATCTTTCAAGTCCTGATGTAGTTGTATGATAAGGATCAAGATCTTCGGGTCTTAAGTCCTTTTTTTTCAGCTCCGTCATAACGCACATGGAGTTTAGCCAATATTATTTTTCCTTATAAATGTGAACCATATATAATAAGGTGACAGTGGTTGCTTCTGGCAATCATGGTTTCACTGATATCCATATACCAATATATTACCAATCAAGGTATACAAAGTTTGGCTTTGTGCAACTTTTTCCACCCCTTTTTCGGTGGGTTCTTCAACATCAAGTGGAGATAGTATACTTAATTCATTATATTAATATACATAAACTGCAAAATGAAAATTGTTGGAGGATGTCACGTTTGTTGTAGTCTGATTTCTTAATAAACACACAAGGGCAAATAGGATTGTTGGTATATCCTTCTTTTAGTAAATATTTGCTGAGGTGATTGTACCACATTTGACCAAATTGTTTTGAACCATACAATGATCGCCTCAATTTTATTGACAACATGCCCCGTGTCTTAGTATTAGTTGCTTCAGGCAACTTGAGTCCTTCTGGGATTTTCATGTATATATCAGTATCCAAATCAACATATAAATATGCAGTAATGACATCCATGAGTCTCATGTCAAGTTTTTCTGAAACCGCTAAACTTATGAGGTGACAAAACGTAATTGTGTCCATTACTGGAGAGTATGTTTCCTCATAGTCAATCCCAGGCCTTTGTGAAAACTCTTGTGCAATGAGGCGCGCTTTATACCTTGAAATCTCATTTTTCTCATTACGTTTTCTCACAAATACCCACTTATAACCCACAGGTTTAACATTGGGTGGGGTCAGAACAATTGATCCAAAAACACTCCGTTTTTCCAAAGAACTTAGTTCTGCCTGGATTGCATTTTTCCATTTATGCCAATCATTTCTTTGTTTACATTCATCGACGGAGCGAGGCTCAACGTCATCATTTTCTGTGATCTCATTAGCCACTGAGAATGAAAACATTTCATCGATGGTTATTTCATTTCGATCCCACAATTCGTTATTGCATGCATAATTTATGGAGATCTCTTGATTTTTAGGTACCATTTTCTCCTCCGGGACATTTTTCAGATCTACGACATTGTCCTTTTCAGGAAATACTTGTGCCTTTTCAATGGCATTTAGATCATGAACTGTGGGTTCCATATTTGTTTCTTTTTCATAATCAATTTCCTTTGGATTCATTTTTGCCATTGCCTTTCTTTTTCGAGGGGCTGAATCCTTTGAGCCTAATGGCCTGCCACGTTTCTGACGTGCAATTGATGAATCATTTGCTGCAACATTATGATGTTTGACATGAATCTTGTTGGAACTCCAGCAGAGATTCAAAGGACTGCTGAATATTTGAAACAAGAATTCGAAATGAAAGACCTTGGGAAGACACATTATTGTCTAGGGTTGCAAATAGAGCATACTAATAGAGGAATCCTTGTCCATCAATCAACTTACACTGAAAGGGTATTGAAGGGATTTGGAATGGACAAAGCCTATCCTCTTAGCACCCCAATGGTCGTTAGATCTCTTGACACTAAGAAAGATCCATTTCGTCCAAGAGACGAAAATGAACCCATCCTTGGTCCAGAAGTGCCATATCTTAGTGTCATTGGTGCTTTATTATATTTAGCACAATGTACGAGACCAGATATCGCCTTTTCAGTAAATTTGTTGGCACGATATAGTATTGCTCCAACCATTCGACATTGGACCGGAATCAAGCATATTCTACGATATCTTAGTGGAACAATAGGTATGGGCTTATTATATGAACCTAATAATGGGCATAGTATTATTGGATATGCAGATGCAGGGTATCTCTCTGATCCACATAAGGGTCGTTCCCAAACTGGATATGTATTTACCTGTGGAGGGACAACAATCTCATGGCGTTCCATAAAGCAATCATTAGTGGCTACATAATCCAATCACTCAGAAATACTTGCACTGCATGAAGCCAGTCGTGAATGCGTTTGGTTAAGATCAATGATCCATCACATATGGGGCACATGCGATCTACCTTTGGTGACAAATACTCCAACAACCATCTATGAAGATAATGCTACTTGTATCACTCAAATCAAAGCAGGATACATCAAGGGAGACATGACCAAACACATATCACCAAAGTTTTTCCACACACACGAACTTCAGGAGAAGCAAGAAATTGAAGTCAAACAGATACATTCAAATGATAATCTGGCAGACCTTTTCACCAAATCTCTGCCGAAACATACATTTCAAAAACTGGTGCATGGGATTGGATTACGCCGACTTTACAATCAGTAAAATGGATGTATACTTATCAGGGGGAGATATTCATTAGGAACAGGGAGGGTGCTTTCAACAAAGTTTCTATACACTGTACTCTTTTTCCTTCGTCCAGGTTTTTATCCCACTGGGTTTTTCCTGGCAAGGTTTTAATGAGGCAATGTTGCACGCTAATCAGGATCCCCTCTTGCATGACACAGAGCTATTTGAATGTGTACTCTTTTTCCCTTCGTCCATATTTTTTTTCCCATTGGGTTTTTACTGGCAAGGTTTTTAATGAGGCATATTCTCTGTATGGTAGCATCCAAGGGGGAGTGTTATAATATTATAGGGCAATGGATGGATGCCGACCACACTCATATGTGCTTCAATAGCTCATCCCATTCTCCATATTTAGTAATGTAAAGCCTACCACTATGGTAATATTCTATGTATTCCATATGCCTATAAATAGGCTTCAAAGATGAATAAAATGATACACAATACCAAGAGAGAACTTTGAGTATCAAAGATCCGTTTCTTCCATATCCCAACTTCTATCTTCCTTTAATATTTATATAAGTTTTACAACACGTTATTACGAACAAGAGTTTTCCTACTAAAGTGTAAAGGAGGAACCACATGTGTTTTGCTCACCGAACAAAAAAAAAAGTAAAGAAAATAAAGAAAACTAAAGTGTTAATTAGGCAATCACAAACATTACAGTTTTCGTTTTCGCACATAACAATATATACAATGTCATACATACACAAAAATACAAGTCTGGAAGTGAGTCCCCCTACCTGGAATCCAAAGCTTATGCCTCACTTGAATTCTACACCTTTGAACTCAAATTGTTCTTGCTTGGGCAACTGATTCCTAGGCCAACATTTCAAAAATGTTACTAAAAACCCTTATTTTCAATTTAGTCATTATAACTAGCTTTAATTGCACTTTAGTCCTCATACTTGTCAATAATTTCACTTTTGTCCTTATACTTTCCTTTATTTTCACTTTGGCCCCTGTACTTTTTCCAATACATTTCAGTCTTCAGACTTATCCATAATTTCACTTTGGTCCTTACATTTTCCTTTATTTTCACTTTACATATACTTATTTTAAATTATCTTTTGGTTCTTCCACTTTCAAATTCGGCTTCGGCCAACAACTCATACACAAATTTCCAGAAATCAAAGCATCTTAAAAATTTACCTTAATATTGGTCCGAAATCCAACGTGAAGCTCCCAAAGAGAAATAACCAATTCAAACAACACTTGAAAACTAACAAAAGCTTGTTTCAGGTGTACCACTGCCGAGAAAGCTACACTTGTTGGACTGCCACTATTTTTGGATATATTGTAGAGAAAAGAATTCTGAACAAGCTTCATGAAGGAAGTATTGTCATCTGAGCAAGGGAAAAGTGACATACAAGAGTGAATAAGGTACTGTACAGTGATAACAGCAGAATCCGAGGAAGTGACGAACATGCTTACCACAGACATAGGCAGAGTAGTTGGATTGCTCTGATTTTTGGATGTCATAGTTCTCCAACTAAGGAACAACCTTAGAGAATGACGTTTTGTCAAACAAGCAATGGAGATTAAAGAAAACTGTTGAAAACCGAGCTGCAGAAAACTCACCAGCCATGCATAAACATAGAAATGTCATAGCAGGTTCGAGGTAGCTAGATCGGTCTAATGATGCTCATGTTTGGGTATGTTATAGTATTCGAATAGATGAATAACTTTGATGAATGAAGTTTTTTTATTTGAGCTTTCGAAATTGGACTTCTAGAGTGATGAATAGTACCCACGAGTTTGGGTTTTATGAAGAAGAAGAAGAAGAAGAAAAAGATGAACGTTGGTGGTGATAGGAAAATGAAAGAGAAAAGGAGCAGAAGAAGAATAAAAAGCAAGTGTCGGCAGAATTGACCCAAAAAAGAAAAAAGTAGCAGAAGAAGAATAAAAAGCAAGCACAAGTAGTTTGCCACTTTTAACATTTTATTCCTTATCATTTCAATTTGATTAATTTTGTCCTGTAGTTTTCAATTTAAGTAATTCAAGAACAAAATTTAATTTCTATCAAAATAGAGTAACTGCCTATAGTTGTTGAGGGGCATTTCGGTTAAATTATTAAAAAATAAATTCATTTTAAAAATAAACAATCCAAAATGAAGTACCTGTGCTTCGGGCTGTCATGAAACTGCTTCTGGATGTGAGGGAGTGCGAGGGTTTTGATGAGCGTGATGAGGAGATTTTGAAGCTTGTTTCTCATATTAGGTGTTGGGGTTCCAAAACGCACATTTTGAGTGACAATGATTTGGAGGATGTGGCTGGGGGATGGGTTGGGGGAGGTTGAGGGGTTGGGATGGGGGAGTTCAATTTTCCTGTGCCCATTTTCCACAGAGAGATAACGACGGGTTAATTAGAATTGATATTGAATAATAAAACAAATATTGAAAAGAAAACTTTGTTTTTAATGTACTCTTCATCTTCTTCCTCTGGCTATCTAACCACCCAATGAGAAAAACCCACGGATCAAAGTTCAAACCCCTCCCAATCCTTTCAGAAGTTGAAACAATAATAAAGCCCAAATGGGCACTCTTCCACCGTCTTGATCCCTCGCCATATCGATGTCTTCGCCTCCACCTCCAGGGGATTGTAGCCTACGCATCTGGTTCAAGGGTTAATTCAGCACTTAAACCCTTAGCTATCTCTGGTTTTGGCTTGAAGTCAAACAAACACACAAACATCATAAACAAAACAACTCTCTCCCTCCCTCTCAATCCCTAAACTAATTTCCAAAATAAATTAGTAATTCTTTTAGTTGCTGAAGAAACGCATAACATATTCTTCATAAATCAATCCAAAAAATATTAATCAATTCTGTTATGTTCCTCATGTTTCTCGATAACAAAACAAGTCAAAGATAATTAGAATTTGGGAGAAAGGGAAGAAAAGAAACAGACCTAACTTCCAAGGAAATTGTTAATGTGAATGAAGACCCAAACAAGATCGATAAGCCCGTGAAACTACAGAGAGTTTTTAAAAAAAACTTTTTTTATTTTTATTTTTAATATTTGTTGTTTTGAAATTTGAACCATGAGTTAACGGGTGTTATCTCTATGTTCAGTATGGGACAGGTGGCGGAATATTAAGAAAGAAACAGGAGGCCACAGGGAAATTGGGCACAGGAAAATTGAACTCGGGATGGGGTGGAGTTTGTGTAATCTGGATTTCTTTTGTTTTTTGGTTACTATTTTTAAAAAAAATTGTTTTTTTTCTTCTGGGTTTTGGTTATTTTTTTGTTACCTTTGTTTTTGGACAGAAATGCCCCTCAACCACTAAGGGCAATTACTCTATTTGAACATAAATTAGAATTTGTCCTTAAATTGTTTAAATTGAAAACTACAGCACAAAATTGATCAAATTAAAATGACATAGATCAAAATAGTAAAAGTGACAAATTATAAGGATAAAAATAACTTTTTGCCAAAAATAAAAAGTGTGGTCAACCCATGTGTGAAAAGTAACCAGATGGTACACCAGTCACGTGGTGTATCCAGAATATATAAAAATTTCTCATTGTGAAAAGTATCCATATGTTCTATGTTTATTGAATGGTATACCAGCCACGTGGTGTACCCGGAACATATAAAAATTTCTCTTAGTGAGTTGATTGATGGTTACAACAGAGAAAGCTGAGGGAGATCAAGATGAAATTATGAGTGAACAAAACTTTCCACCTCTGCATTTTGGTCATTTCAGAATCTCCAGTCCAAATCTTTCAGTCTGTTTCAATGGAACTATTTCTCATTTCAGCACACAAACACCATTTCATCATCCAAAATGAAAAAATGTCATCAAACCCGTCTGGTGCCCTTTCCATGGTTTGCACCACAACAATTACACTCGCTATCGGTATATTCATAGTCATTTAGTTTAATTTATGTTTTATTTCTTTTCATTGTTTTTCATGTGTGATTTATAGATTGTATTTGAAAAATGGCTAAGGGTGATATTTGCAAATTAAATTTAATTGTGGGTGGCATTTAGCAGTATTTCTCTTCATCAAAAAAGGTAAAGCATGGGAAAGGCATGTGGCCAATTTTAAAATGAGACTAGTGGAAGAAAAGGAGGTGCGGAACCGAAAAAGGAGATAAAATAATGCTGTGAGATTGAAGGGCAGATAAATAAAAGAGAGAAGGAGATGAGAAGATAGCACAGAAGTAAGGGAGACCACCGAAAGAGAGGAGTGAACACGGGGTAGTGGAGAGGGAATAAAGATCAGAAAAGGAAAACAATGATAAAGAGAGAATGTCTGTGAGGATAGGTTGGTAGTAGATGTTGACAAATGTGAGAGGTGTGGAAAAAAAGAGGCAAATTGTGCAAAACAAGACAATAAAGTGAAAGGGAAAAAAGGGCAAGTTATTGGCGTGAAAGAGAAAAGGTAGCAATTTTTCTTCATTTATTTATTTTTATTTTTTATAGAGTAATGGGTAGATGATGTGATTAATTGCAAATGGATAATATCGCTAAAATTAATATAGTGGTAAATAGAGTATCGTTTCAATAAGGATCAAGTTTAATCTAGTAAATACTAGAGTGATTTATTTCTAATTATATCTGAATTAAACGATAAGATGATTAAAATGACGAAAATGTAATTAAGCAAGTAAAATAAGAATAAGTAAACAATGTAAAAGATGAAAATAAAGATGATAAAGCACTAGGACACCGATTTCACCTAGCTTAATCCCACCCAAATCCTTCTAACTTGTCAATCTTAATTACCTAACATGTTGATAATCGTTTTCCCTTACCTCACCAATACTCTCTTCCGAGTTATATTGGTTGTTTTTCGTACCGTCAACCCACTCTATTCCCAGTTGTGGATTTAGATGGTTAATAACCCATTAAGATTTGTGGAAAATATTAAAGACTACACAAATCATAACCTAATCTTCCGAGTTGGCTACGTAATTTATTATACTTGTTACAAGAAACTATTTATTAGGCATCTCCTTTCAGTCTCAACTCAATTCTTCCCATCATACAATTAATGGCCAATTAATTGAAAGCCTTAAGAATGGTAACAAGCACTCAACATGAATAGATAAATAAAATTAACAATATCAAAGAATTTGAGTATTTATAGCTAGGTTACGTCGTAGTCCTAGTAAAAGAAATTAGTTCATGAAAAACTTATTGAGAAACATGATGGTCAATGAGGACATGGAAGGTACTGAATTCTCCAAAAAGTATAAGAAATTCGATTTTGCGCTTGATTAGATAATTTGCTGAGTTGGATCATAGTCATCGGGTTTTATTTAGAAAAAAAACATAATTTTATTCAAACAACAATAAAGAGATGAGTTATAGTTGAGGAAAATTGACTTTCAAGGGGTTAAGCTAAAGAGATGGGTTATAGTTGAAAATACAAAGTGTCAAACATTATTGTTGTAAAAATGGAGATATGATTACTACTTCAGTTTGATGGTTAAGTGCATAGACTCAATTAAAACCTAGTGGAACTAAGTAGTTATAAATCTAATTGTGTCGTTCTTGTGTTGGGATCACATTCTCTATCAATAAATAAAATTTAAAAACAAAAATCTACTTATACAAATAAAAAATAGGATTTCTTCTTTAAATACCACAAAAAACAAGAAAGACGAGAGGGAAAAGTTGCACCTGCCCCATGCCCATGACTTGATATCATGCCCATACATAACACTGATCATCTTAATTCAGCCTATAGGTCACCCTTGTCGTGGAATTGGGCCCAGTTGTGTGGTGAAACGAGGCTCTGATACCAAATGTTATGAACTCTTAGATAGAACCTGTCCCTAAAAAACGGCTTGTAAGGGAAGAGTGCCCATGAGCCCTTAAACCACTTTAAGATATGCTTATTTTGACAACGTGGGATCTTGAGTCCTAACACTAACCTTGACGCTTTTGCACCGGAGTTTCTTTGGTCCTATGTGTGTATCAATAGAGGTATCCTTGTGCACTTATTGTTGCCGGTGGCCTCCGTATGATGTTTGTGATTGACGTTTGTGCATATAAATACAATCTATTGTCTTTCTCTAAAAATTAAAAAAAATTATAAATTTTGAAAAAGAAAACAAGAAAGACAATGTTAACGTGACCCGCAGTGATTTTATAAAAGCGAAATGATAACGTTATCCACTCCGAGCGGAAAAGCTAAGCTGCTACCATGGCAAGGCTTCTCATCTCCAACACAGCCTCTCTCACTCTCTCTCCACCAGCCCCGTCCTCACGTGCTCTACTCAACCCCCCGCACGTGCCCATATCGCCGGCGACTCGATTTTCCGGCCGGCAACCCAGAGGCCTAACGGTGGTGACACGTGCCGGTCCCACCACGAACCAGTACGTGTTCGCATTCGTTATGCCACTCTCTCTGATCGCTGTCACTGTCTTCACCTCTATGAGAATCGCCGATAAGCTCGACGAAGACTTTCTTGAAGAGGTTTGTGAAATTTCTGCAACTGGGTTTTTGTCTATATTTGCATGCGGTCTGAGATGTTAAAGTTCATGTGGGTTTTGGGTTTTGTTGAAATTGCAAGTGTTTTTATTTTTCTTTTCGTTTTTGTGGTGATTGGAATGAACAAGATTGCCAATGATTTCTCTCATATGGAATATAAAATGTGGCAATTGAACTGTTAGGCAAGCCTTCAATGTTTTCCCATCATTCTGCTCTGTCAAGATGTTTTTTTTTTCCTCTTATGTACCCTGTTTTGTAACAGCGCACAATATGAAGTGTATGTAAATGTTCTATAGTAGTTTTCTCATTATGTTTAAATTTTGATGTCGTAATCACCCCGAAATGGAACAATAACGAAAATTAGGAGCTTTTATCGACATGTTCCTGTGAAATGTAAAATGCATATTCACATATAATCTCAATTTTGTTTTTAATCATGATTTCGGTTATATCTGGTATTGTCTGATGGCATGTTCTTAGACATGTTATGCAACTCCAATGGCATGCTCTTAGAGACATGTTATGCAACTCCAATGGCATGTTCTTAGACATGTGCATTAAAAAGAATACTCGGTTTAAAATTAGGGACAATATATCTTCTGCTGCTGTTTTGACAGAAGCTTTTATCTTTGTTTTCTAAATATTTCTTTGAAGCCATACCATGATTCAAATCTTTGAGTATTGATTCCATATTGTAATGGGAACAATCATATGTTTTCCTCTTTTCGTTAATGTAAAAAACTGTCATTGGAACCCTAGGTGAACAGGAGGGGCTGGAAAGTGAGAGTTTTGCAAATACTGCTAAAAATAGAGTAATTTCATAATCTGTTTGTTTGTGATGTTCTTTTTCTCCTTCTCCAATTAGTTGTTTTGTTTATGAACTACCAGATTCTGGAAACTCAATCAACAAAGCATTGTCCGAGATACTTGTGGTCTGCCAAGCAAATTATTTATTTCATTTGCGATTATAGTAACTGTTAATTCATGGGATAACACGTCTCTTCTTCACAGCTTAACTTTTGTTGGTCTCACATTATGATTAGCCTTTGAAGAAAATTATACCACAAGAAATATGGAAAACCTGCTGCAATTGTCATTATCCTGACTGCTTATATTTTTGTATGCGTGCATGTGTCGTTTTTTTTTCTCTCCATATTTTTGTAAGTAAGTAGTGTTGTTTGTATTGTTGATGTAGATTGCAATTAACCAAGCGATCAGGGAAACTGATGAGGATGATGAAGTTGACATGTCTATAGAAGAAAAACCTGCCCTTCCACGAACACGCAACCGACCGAAAAGGGAAGTCTAGACTTTATTTTTGCTGCTTGGTAAGGTTTAGTTTTATATTTCAGATCAGCGTGCCGTCATGAATGGTGATTCTTTGAATGTAAGGGAAAGAAGGGGATGCAGGGAAACTTATACGCTTTGACAATTTTGTATGTCAAATGAGTATTGACATTAGAATGTTGTGCCGATAGCCTTTGAGCCTAATGGCACCTTCTCTTCGTTCCTTGAGAATTAGAGTGCTTGCATTGTGTTTCTATTGTTTGTAAAAAGAAATATGGAATGAAAATATACAGTTTGTATAATAGGCAGGGGAGGTTTTGCTGTTAGTGTTCCGATAAGCATGTTCTTGGTTGCTAGCAGAAGTGCGTACAATCTGAAGGATTTTACAGAGTATTCATATAGATGAATAGAATGATTTCTTCTTTAAATTTCGAATCGTTGTAAGTGAAGTTATTGTCAATTCTGAGATGATAATTTATTTCAAGATGCAGAATACAAAGTTGGAAAGGTTCATTAAATAAACCTGCTATGCCAAAAGTCAAAAGTCGCCTTGAATATTGCGCATTACATGAAATTGGCATTACGATTGCGGTCACAATTTGTCTCACAAATTATGAACATTTCAGATCTGTGTTCTTTGACCTATTGCAAAAAACTTAGGAAACATCAACTTATGAACATTTCCCCTAAACCCTAATATCTACCCCTGCTATCAATGGAATATCAACCCTCATAGACTTTCTTACAAAAACAACAATAATTTGATTGGTAGACTTGGTTACTGGAAGACAAATAACCATGTAAACGGCTTAGACCTGTACACAGAATGGAAGTTCTGAACTAGGTTTTCTTCTCCACATATATCAAGAATCAGTCTGCCCCATCCACATCCATATGCGGGCCTCTCTGCAACTTTTTCAACCCATCATCTCCCCCGTTTGAGCCTTCCATTTGTGCTTAATCTCTGATAAACAAAATATTCTTGATTCTTGAAGATAACTTGAAGATAATTTTAACACCTCTTTGCGCTTAATCTCTGATAAACAAAATATTCTTGATTCTTTTCCAAAATATGCCGAGCTAAAGCACAATCTAGAAAGAAAAAAGAAGAAGCAAGAATCAGCTTGCTAAAGCACATTAATTGACAATAAAGGATCTCACTAGGTTTAACACAAGGCTTTAGAGAACTAAACTGACCTGTTGGAGAAGTTATGAGACACTGAAAGAACAAACATCACTCATGATGCCCGCTGATATGAAGCCTCATAACACTACCCTGGAAAGGTGCACCATCTGCCACTCTGAAGACTACAACCACAAATACATACAGATCTTAATTGCAGTGTTCACCCGATACAACTTCATGCATTAAAAGCAAATTGCAACAGAAGGTGCGTACTCCCCAATGGGTTATGGACTATCTTATACATATTAAACATGTTAAAAGCCAAGTAACCAGTGAATTCAGTACCTGGCTTCATAATTCATCACGACAGCAGTTTACAACCCTTTGCTTTCAACTTGGATTCTAAACCGAAAAACTTCAATCCTGACACCACCAGATCCGCCGTCTTCTTCTTCATGTGTTCAATTAATACTTCATCATACACAATCATATTGGCTTCTGTTAAAAGTTTGCGCTCTTTCAAATTAGAAAATATCTTCCTTGCCTCCTCTATTGTTCCATGCTTACACATCCCAGAGATTATAGCAGAGTATATAACATCATCCGGAGGGCAACCCTGCTGCATCATCTCGTTTAGTACTTCAATCACCTTCTCAGCATTATTAGATTTACATGCTTGGAGAATGGTAAGAGAATACTTAAATTCCATGGGCCCACTTGTCACACTGGCCAAGCAGTCACGAACAAGCAGCATAACTGTATCAATCTCGCCAACTTTGCAAAGACCTCTTGCAAGAGAACAATAAGCAGAGATAGAAGGAACACAAGACATCTCAATTATCTTATTATGAGAGGCACAAGCATCATGGATGTCCTCATCTTCAACAAAACACATAATTGCAATGCTATAAGTAGACGCGTCGGGCTGCAAATCCACATCCTTCATTTCATTAAAGAGAGACAATGCTTTCTTCACTTTCCCAGATTTGTGGAGGGCCCCCATAAGGATATTGTAGATTCCAACACTATAATAACCTTTAACTTTCAACTCCCCAAACACTTCCAAAGCTAAAGGTACTCCATCCTCCTTTCCTACCATAAAGGAAAAGAATTTTGAAAGATCATCAATAACAGGAAAACCAAATTTCTCCATCTCTGCAAGCATATCGTAAAAGTTATCCATTCTTCTCGTCTCAGCATAAGACACCAAAATGGGATTCACCGTAGCAAAATCTGGCTGAAGACCCTCTTGAACTGTAACTCGGAAAATCTTATAAGCTTTGTCAACCCGCTTCGCATTACATAAACCCTCAATAAGAGAATTATATATCCCCAAATCTGCCCTATACCCTGAATCCATCAAATCCTTCAACAAATCACATGCCGCTCCAACCTTCCTGTCTGCCACGAACCCCTCAGTCAACACCCCATAAATCGCTCTATCAATCAGGAAACCCTTAACCTTCATCTCCCTAAACAACTCGTATCCTTTCTCCACCCTCCCTCCCTTACACAGACCCGTAACCAGAGTTGCATATGCCATAACGTCCGCCTCTACCCTATCTCTCTTCATTTCCTCCCAAACCCTCAAACAGCCGTCCGAGTTCCCCTCTGAAATCAAAACCTTAATCATTGCCGTGTATGCAAACACGTCAGGTTTACACAAATTCACCCTCATTCTTTCCAAAAGCTGCAACATTTCATCAATTCTTCCCATTTTACAAAGACCCTTTATCAAGATCATAAAAGTAACACTCTCCTCGACCAACCCATCACCCCTAAAGTCTTCGTAAACCGATAACGCCAAATCCAAATAACCCGACTTCACTAATGCATCCATGATCCTATTGTACAAGAAAACCCTGGGTTTAACCCCAAATTTTTTCATTTTTTCATACACGTAATAAACCCTAAGACCTCTATTGGCATCGGAGTGCATTCTGATGAGAATCTCAAACTGTTTCTCGCTGGGCGGTTTGCCCTGCGAGTCCATCAACTCTGGGACTTGGTCCGCGGACCGGAACCGGTTGGACCGGTTCAGACAATAGGCCAAGGCATTGTAGGAAGCATAAGTGTGCTTGAAACCCTTTTGCTTACCTGCCCAGTGGAAGAACTTGGAAGCGGAGACGGGGTCGTTTTGGACCTTGAGCACCTCGGCGACGAGGTCGGGCGTAACCCGGCGGAGCTTTCGGAGCTCCGAGACGACTGGTGGGCCCCAGTGGTTCTGGTTCTTGCGGAACGCGTCGAGAATGAAGCGCGCGATAGGGGAGAGAAATGAGAGGAGTGTCGTGTCGGCAGGGTTGGATGATGAAGTGGACGGCGAGGATTGGGGGAGGTGTGGGTCCCATTTGGAGAGTTCGAAGGGGTGAGATTGGGGGGCGGCGGTGGGGTATTTGCGGTTTGGGAGGGAGACGCGGTTGGAGAAGAGGCCGCCGCGGACTGTAAGGCGGTTTTGTGAGGGCTTGCGGTGGCCGTGGAAGAAGGTGAAGTTTTGGGGTTTAGGGGGTGGGGACTGAGGTGGCATTTTACAACTTGTGTCTGCCCCTATTACTCTCTTTCAGTCTTTCTAAAATTCCTTCCACTTGATAAAATAGAAAGACTGGAAAGAAGAATGGAAAATGAGTGAACTTTCGCTAAAAAATTTAACTGCATTGATCGGAATCGGTTACCGCCCCCAACTTTAACGAGCATTTTCGGGACTAGTCAGAGACCAGGAGTAATTTTTGGGTGTCTATTAATATGAAAATCAAACCAAATCAAACCGTGTGTAAGTTTCAGTTTCGGAGTTAATTTGAGTATTAAAGCAAACTAAACTGGACCGAACGAGCACAACACGAGATTTTTTTTTCTTAACACTCCAAGACTAAATTTTCAAGCTTTCTCACATCCTTCCTACTCGCTTTCACCTCTACCCATCACTATGACTATGTTTAGTGCTAAATTTAAGGTATGTTAAAGAAAGAAATTGAGAAAAACTTCCACATTTTGTCAAAGTTTAAGGTAGAAGATGAAAGGCAGTCAATCTCCAAAAAAAGCAGCGTGGTCTTCAGCAAAAACGTGAAAGATAACATGCTGTGCTCTCTAGCATTCTGGGGGTGCTCTGTGTCTCGGTCCATGAAAAGTATCTTGGTTTGCCTACTTTTGTGGGTCGGGCTAAACGCATGGTCTTTGCTTCCCTAAAAGAAAAGTTGTGGAAAAAGCTTGAAGGGTGGAAAGGTAAGCTTTTGAGTGGGGCTGGTAGGGAGATTTTGATTAAGGCAGTGGCTCAATCTCTACCAACTTACACTATGAACTGCTTTTTGCTACCTAAAGGCTTCTGTGATGAATTAAACAGTGTTGTTGCTAAATTTTGGTGGAGTGGGGATAAAGACAAACGGAAGATTCATTGGTTGCCTTGGAAGAAGTTGTGCAACTATAAGTTGGAAGGTGGTTTGAATTTTCGCAAACTTCATGCTTTCAATTTAGCCCTCTTGGCCAAACAGGGATGGCGGCTAAGTCAACAGCCTAACTCTTTGGTGGCTCGTTTATTTCGGGCTAAGTACTACCCCGGGTCTGACTTTATGTTTGCCCCCGAAGAGAATAACCCTTCCTTTTGTTGGCGTAGCATGTTCGCTGCCAGACAGGTTTTGGAGAGACGAAGAAGCCTAAACCGAGATTAGCAATAGACGAAGAAGCCTAAGCTCTTAAGCTAAGTTTCCATCATTCGACATGGGATACTCTCAACAGTTATACAAATACGAAAATAGAAGTAACATTATTGTTTACGTATTTTCAACCGTATCTAAGTTTTTCTAGGGATGGGCATTATTACCGAAAATCCGACCGAACCGCCCGAACCAGACCGCTTTAGGTGGTTTGGTTCGGTTTTTATATTTAAAAATCATAGAATCAACAAAAAACCGATCGAACCGGCGCTGAACCAGGTTGGATTGGTTTTTTTCCCTTCAAACTGCTAAAAACCGGACTGGACCGCCTATTATTATTATTATGGCTTAAATGCAAAAATGATCCCTGTGTTTTACTACGTTGGCTAATTTAGTCCCTGTGTTTTCAATTTAGCCAATTCGGTCCCTGTGTTTAGGACCGTTAGCCAATGTTGTCCATTCCCTTAAATTTGTTGTTAAATACACATAATAAACATTTTTGTGTCTTTTAAAAACCTATAAACTTTTTTAAATTAATATAAAAATATTAAAAATTCATTAAAAGTAAATCATAACACGAGAAAAGAAGAAACTTGAAGAAAAAAAATGTTGTCGAGGAGGGGATGATTTGCCCAACGAATGGAGAGGTGGGAAGGAGAGTGATGAGCAGAGGGGCAAGACCAAGAGGGAGAGAAACAAACGAAACCAGAAACTAATTGTTTGGGCCCAAATTTGGCACGCCGAAAACAAAAGCCCACACCATCTCCTAGGCCGCCTGTTTCAGACGACCTCAAGCCCATCAGCACGACCCAGCCCATTAAACAAGTGGACAGGCCAAGAACAATAAACCTGGCCCAAGACGTTAAGAGGCCTGGAAACAGTGAAAATCAGAAAGCAACTTGGGCCTTGGAAGAACTAGAATGGGGCTCAAAACACAAACTAAACCCAGCTGATCTTTTAAAAACAGTCCCACGTGACCCCTGACTAAGAAAAGTCAACAAAATCGGCTGAAATCAAGATTGAACAGGAGCAGGTAGACGAATTCCAAAGGGCACCTCTGGTGTGTTCATGGGTGATGGAAGCCATATAGAAGCTTTGGGAGTTGGTTCATATCAACTTCAGATGCGCAATGGGCGCACATTGCTCCTCAATAATGTGCTCTACGTTCCTGGAATTCAGCATAATCTATTTTCAGTTTTAGAGTGTTTGCGTGATGGATATTGTTTTAAGTTTTCTTCTTCTGATTTGGATGTGTTATTGGATGGTACAATTGTTGGTCATGGTTTTTTAAGGAATAACTTCTTTTATTTGGATTTGAATGTTTCCGATTACTCATCTTCTTATATAGCTTATGCTGATGTACATGTTGATTCTGCAACTTGGCATGCTAGACTAGGACATAT